TTTAAAACAACCCACTTATCTTAAAAGACACATTTATAACAATGCTAAAATGTAAAAATAACTAATTTCTAACTATATTAAGCAGAATGAATTTTCATTTCCTAGATCATCTATGTGAAAATTCATGGGGCACGTTCTTAAATATATATGCATTTAAATTCATTGCTTTTCGACCAACTGAAATACAATGTATGTGCTGGCAGCCCTCTTGGCACCGTGGGCAATGAGTCAGTCTCACAGAGTATGTGCAACAAATTATTCCATTTAGATAAAAATTAAACTATCAAAATAGAACATCAACTTAGATTTAGCTAGCCAGGTGACATCATTTTTAACATAAAGCATCAGGTCACTACAGTGGAGCTTTTACTATGTCCCAATGGACTGTCAGTGTAACACCACTTGACTCATAGAACTAAAACATAAGTCTCTGAAATAACTAATCCTGTATAGTAGCAGGGGTCCCCAGCCTATGGTGAATTGTATAATTATTTCATTATATATTACAATGTAATAATAGAAATAAAATGCACAATAAATGTAATGCACTTGAATCATCCTGAAACCATCCCCAGCCTCCCAACTCCAGTACATGGAAAAACTGTCTTCGATGAAAACAGTCCCTGGTGCCAAAAAGGTTGGGGACTGCTGCTATACAGAATCTCCCAAATCTAACAGACAAGCTGTCCTTTTGGCTCAGTGTTTGTGTACATTCTGAATACCTATCCAAAGCTAAAACAGTGAGCATTGACTGAAACCACAGAAAAGGTGTAGAAAACCTAAAATGTAATACAAACACTAATAAATGAACCTAACTGTACTATAAATGAATACCACAACCACACCGAAGGAGACTGGGAGGAAAAAAACTAACATGGAAAACAGCATCACGACTAGAGGCTGTAAGGTTAAAGACACAAACAACTGCACATAAATGCTATAATTTAGTCAGTAAATGTACTTCTCACAAGCTATGGGTTAGTAGTTCTGAAACTATATGTACACCAGGTTTCAACAAATATATATAATGTAGATAATAAGAACTGGATTTCTCACTGTTGAGAAAGAACTTACAAATAAGAAAAGAGTAATCTAAAAATAAAACCTGTGGTATTGTACTGGAATCTGAGCTACCAGTTTAAAGGCACGAATATATTATGCGTATATACACATGCATATATATGCCCATACACACACACAGAAGTATAGCTGTATGCGTATATGCATGGGTATACATAAATACCATTCTTAGCTCTGTCCAGTGAGAGGGCTAGAAGCAAAGACATCATAATAGTAACCTGGGGCCAGATCTTGGTTTCTAAATACTGCTCTCTAATAAAAGGAACGAGAGCTCCTTGGAGAAGTCATTGTTTCCACAGCTGAGTCAGGGAAAAATACAAGATGAGCCTGGAATACCTCGTAATTCTAGAAAGTAATAAAGTGTTCAGAAAATGATGGGAGCTTGTTCAAAGGACACAGGAGCCAAGCCAAAGGAACTCCAATGGCCACAGGTGGTAAAACCTGAGCAATGAAATAATATAAATAAAAACACCAGATTATAATCTGTAGAATAAAATAAATATTGCTGAGTCTATACTCATATACATAAAAAGTGATTAAACAGAGAAAAGGAAAAGCTCTCAGTCATAGAAGAACTTCAAGAACAAGAGTAGAAAGAGAGGGGGGCATAAACTCGCCATCAGAATATCACAGTAACAACCCTGCAGGCAAGGTCCACTGAGAGATGCTAACATTAGTGGGCACAAATTTGAGGAAAAATAGGATTTTCATGGTCTCAAAGTATCCTCCCAAGACATTTTATTAACTACAAAGGAAAAATAGTAACTTCACAGAACACAAATGCAGCAGACATCACCTCAACCAAGTGACCACAGTCAACATCATGAACCCTCATTCCTGTGGTATTCTTGCCAAAACCATATATCCTCAGTTAATTATGAGAAAGTATCAGACAAATCTCAATTGAGGGACATTGGACTAAGAATCAATACTTGTCAAAAGTATCCAGGTTATGAAACACAGACAGACTGTTACAGTCTGGAGGAGACTAAGGAGAAATAAATGAATGCAATGTGGGATTCTGGATAGAATCATGAAGAGAAAAAGGATTTAGGGGAAAAACTGGTGAAATTAAAATAAGGTCTTCAGTTTACCTCATAATTTTATACCATTGTTAATTTCTTGGTTCTGATAACTGTACAATGGTTATGTAAAATGTCAACATTAGGGGTAGTTGGGTAAGGGATACATGGAAACTCTGCACTATTTTAGCAACTTTTTTGTGAGTGTAAAATTAGTATTAAAAAAATTTTCAAAATCATAGAAAACAGATTTACTAACTGGAAAACAATCTGGTGCGATATAAATAAGAGTGTTTACTGGCTTTGCAGAGATTAACTATATTATTTTTAAGGTGACTTATAAATTTCAAATGTCTGAATTACTAATAAATAGAGCTTTTTTCATAGTATGATTTGGGATGTTAACTACCCAATGGTCAGCAACATAGCAAGAATTATTCTGTGAATAAAGATGTCAGAGAAGAGCAAACAGAGGCAGAGCAAGCTATGGTATCTGAATTTGTACAAGGCAAACAAACGTCTCAATCTTGGAAAAGCTAACTAAACCATCATGATGGCTACAAGAGAGCTCAAAGCCAACTGATGTCTCATGTCTCTGCATTTTAGGGACAGCTTCAGTCAAACCAACCACTTATGTGAGTCTGCTGGCTAAGAGTGCACAACGTAAGCAAATGTAACCAGAAGCTCATCTCCGCTTTTCTGGATATCTGTGACCTCAGCCACTGATGAAGAGGTTTAGATCTTTGTTTCTCTCCAGGTTAATCCAACTTTCTATTCCACTCTGATTACCTCACTTCAGCGAGACAGTTTCTGGTGAGCCAATCTTCTTTGACAAGACTCTATAACCTCTGTTTATCCCCAAAACGAGGACAGGGTGTGCCTCCCCTCCAGCGCCCCTGTGTTTACAATCCTGCCCCTGGAACTCTGAGAGGGTCTCTATGGCCTTAAAGCTTCCCTGAAGCAAAGCTCAGCATCTAAGGAACAAGATGATTCCTTCTCCCAGGGCCAACTGCTCAAGGAAAAGAAAGTCTCAGACTCCAGGCAATTAGCATTTAAGCAGCTGTCTGCCTAAAACCACCAGCAACACCACCCAATTCACCTATGCAAAATGTGGATGCCTCTTTTCAGAAAGGATCCACAAAGCAAGGAAGAACGTCTGTCATATATATCATAGAACCCTCTATATATAAATGGCCAATATATTTTTAAAACTTATCAAACATTATTAAGGCTATTAGATATAAGATTCAATAATGTTTATGCAGAACTCCACATCCTTTGGATTCTTCTACTTAGAGAACAAAATACCTTCAGTCACATATCTGATTGTTTCTCCCCTTATCCTTTAATTTCTTATTCTACTGATTACTAGTTTTGAGGATAATAAATGTTGGTTTCATGTAGCCATATAAGGACATCATAGTATAATATTCCTGTGCATTTTACGAGCAAGGATTTCTGAAAAATGGTTTGAATATAATACAACAATTATGATGTCTCTCATCAAGTGCATTATAACAACAATCTATCTTGATGAAGTTCTAACTTCTTCCTCCACACCAGGTAAACATTCTAAATTAGAGCAAATGTTCCCAATTGTCTTACGGAGGAAAAAAAAAATCTTTTTAAATCGAAATTAGAGCATATGATTCATCTGCAATGATAATTAGATATTTCACCTTAAATATTACATTCAGCGATCTAGCGAAAAAGTGGTTCACTTACCGAATTAGCAATAGCATGAATGACTCTAGAAAATCCAACAGCATCATTCAGTTCCTCCTAATGGAAAATTAAAAAAAGCCCACTATTGATGCGCATATATTCCTTAATTGAATGGACTAGAAAAACAGCCAAAAAAACAAAAAACCCAGAAATTTTGTATGAAGTTAGATAGCTTTAGTTTCATGGACTTTGCTTTGCACCTATCATCCCAAACAACTTCATCTAAAATGACCTATGTACATTCCTTCCCTCTGTTTTAGAAAGTAGAATAAGTAACCAGGATATTATTCATTTGTTACTGAAATAACTGTGCCGAGGATTTACCCATCACTTCAGATAATTTGTTCAAATTTCCAAATCTATCAAGGTGTCTTAAAAACACAAACTTTAAAAAGTTGCCACCTGCTGGCTAAACTCAATAATGCATGTCTAAGGAAACAGCAGCTGACAGATCAAGTATTCTCGTAATTCCTGATCTTTTTCTTTGACAAATGCATTTTTTACAAAATTTTTAGAGCACAGCTCTCTGAGACTCATCCCCACTCACCTTCTTCTCTCCTATTTTCTTTTGAACAGTGGTTAAATAGCCTCAATGTCTCTCCCATCTTGAAAACCCTTCCTTAGCTCTTAGCTGCATCCAACAACCACTCCTTCTCATCTCATGACAGCTGATTTGCTTGAAAGACTTCTCTCTACGCACTGGCTCCAGCTGTGCTCCCAGCCCTCTGCCCTCTGGCTTCACCATCGCTGAAGTTGCTGACCTCCTTAAAACTAATCCTAAGGCTAACAAGGATGCAGAGAAACTGGAAACCTTGTGCACTTTTGGTGGGAATGTAAAATGGTGCAGCTGCTAAGTTAAACAGTAATGGAGGTTCCTCAAGAAAAGAATTACGGTATCATCTAGCAATTCCACTTCTAAGAACATGTACTCAAAAGAATTGAAAGTAGGGACTCAGGTATGTACACACCATATTCACAGCACCCATGGAGATGGATGGTGGTGATGATTTGCACAACAAATGTGAAAGCCACTCAACTGTACACTTGCAAATATTAATAATTAAGATGATAAATTTTGTTATATGTATTTTACAATTAAAGATTTAAAGTATATTTTTAAAACAGCAAACAAACAACTCCCAAGGCTAAATCCAATGGCCATATTTTCATCCTCACCCTTGCCTCTCAAGAGCATGTGACACTGTGGGACACCCCTTTCTTCAAACACTCTCTTCCCTTGGCTGTCTGTCACAATAATCTCCTGGTACTTTTCTCTTACTTTTGCCTATCTTTAAATGCTGGTGTCCTCAGGATTCTACCCTAGGTCCTTTCCTCATTCCTCACACACTGGAGGAATGTGTGTGCTTGGATCCAGTCCCGATAACTCTGCCAATGACAGTCATGTCTAGCCCTCACCTTGTTCCTGTGCTCAAGACTGACAAATCTGTTGACAGGACATGTACCCTTAGATGTCCAAAAGACACCTAAAACCTCATCAGGTCAAAAACAAAAGGTAACATCTACTTCCACTGCAGGGGGACAGTCTTGCCATGGTGTCCTGGCAACCTTGCACGTTTCCAAATAGGCCATACATGTAAGGCACTACAAGGTGCTACTCTGCGCCTTGGCCACAGACCAGTGTGTCTTGGTGGATGACCTCAGGAGGAAAGGGTGGGAGGCAGAGAAGTATAAGGAGCTGCTAGGAGGCCATCTCCCACCCACTTCGCTAGCACTCCTAGGAGGCTGTCATGGGTTCTGAGGAGCTATGGGGCTTTCTGCCTCAGCCCCTCAGAAAGAGCTACGGTCTAGAACTGGTTCTCTAGTAATGGGATATCCCACAACTCAAGTTGCAGTCATCTGGCCCCTCTTGTTTCCATGTTGTCCTTTTTGGTATGTGGGATAAGGACCACAGGCAGCTGGCATCTTCTGCTAATCTTCCTTTCTCCGTGTGGATAATGAGCTCTTTAAATCTGAAAGTGGCTCGTTGTATCTTTACTGGCTGAGGCAGTCAAGAGTGGCCCTGCCTTACATATGTGTGAGCTTGACATCCATCCACACCCAAAACCACTCCTGCCTCCTCCATTCTTTCCCTCACCAATGTCACTACGGCCAACCCCATCTAAGTGAACCGACCACAATCTACCCAGCCGTGCAAGCTGGCTTGAGTGTCATCCTTCCTCGCCCTTCCCCTTCCATATCCACATCCAATCACAAATTCCACAGATTCTACCTTCCAAATATCTCCAGATTCCATCCACACTACTACCAATTATCCTATTCCAGGTCACCAATATCTCTTAGCTAGGTTACTCCACAGCTGAACTGGCCTCCTGCCTCCAAGTCTTACAAGAAACCATTCTTCAAACAGCAACCAGGGGGATGATGTTCCAACAATGCAGATTTGAGCATGTCACCCCAATCTGTCAGATCACACGCTCTGAACTTTGTTTTAGGAAAACTAGTAATTAACCATAAAGTTAGACATGGCAATATTAGTTAATGGGCAGTGATGCTAGTGAGATATAAGCTGAATGATAATCAAGAATACTCCTTTCAAGACTGTTTCATCCAAGTGGACACTGGTCAACCATGACATGAGATTTAATGTGTTGGCTATGCCTAATGCTTAGACTTAACTTCTCCTTATTCTAGTCTAGGTGGTTTTTTTTATTTTTATTTTTACCAATTCAATTCTTCCATGGTAGAAAACTATTCATTAAATTAAATCCAACACATACGCTAGAAATACAGAGACAGGAATGAATCAGTATCTATGTTCCACTTCTCACTCAAAGGAAATTTACATAGCCCAATTACCTGTTCTTTAGCATGTTTCTCTTGCTCTCTTCTTTTGCGTTCTTCTTCATCTACTTTGCTGATAACTATATATCGTTCCTTCTAAAAGACATAAAGCAGGTATACAATTTTCTGGAAGCAGCTTGACCCAAAAAATTCAGGATTCTGCTACCATTACAAGTTATAATTCTTATCACTGCACAGCCTTTCATGGACCAAACACAACATAAAGTATTTTGAAATGCCAACAAAGCTAAGTTGATGCATTATAAACCAAAATTTTGCCTCTCTATTTCCATGCCATTTTCCCATGGTTTATTAAATCACCCCAACAGACATCAGTTGAAAATATCAACAGACTGTGAGAAAAAGACATTTTCTGTGGCAAATACTAAAAAGTTATGCTGCATTTGAACACAAATTTCTAAATAACTAGTTCTAAAGTAAAATTTCTATATATTTTAACAGCATAAGAGAAAAACCCTGGACTTTCAGGTAATGTGCCAGATAACTAAGGCTCTCTCACATATTGCATTTTGTGACCATTAAACACAACACGAAACTTGCTATGTCAAAGTTTGAGGTTTATCTTCCAGCAAGATTGTTTTTAATTTATTTAATCTCTATTTGGATATCTGACTTATAAGCAACAACCAAATTCTAAAACTCAAGAGTTCTGCAAAAGGAACCCACCACTAACCACCTCTTATGCATCACGGTTCTATCCGTGCACCCTGGGAATACATGAAAATGGCTATGTTTATGTTTAGGACCCAGATTCTAATTTAATTTTACCTGACCACATAACAAAACCATTTTGTTCATGCATAGCATTACAGCTTTCTGACATAGTAAAACTATGAACTAACATTTGCATACTTTCAAGTTTACAAATCATGTTCACTTCCATTTACCCATGGGGTTACCATAGAAAAGCTGAGAGATGGTTATAAATCATCATTATCATGCTCAGCCAAGGAAAATGAGGCTCAGAGAGGTTAAGAGACTTGCCCAAGGTCACCCAGCTTATAAGTAGCAGAGCCAAGGTGTAAATTCTGACTCTCAACACATAGATGTATTATTGGCTGTTTAATGTTAGCCCTGGATAATTCTTGGGGTTACCTTTTCAGTTTCTAAAGTCTCAACATGAATGCCTTTGGGATACCTAAAGAAAAGAAGGAAAACATGGTATCAGTAGATGAGTCAATGACAGCTAAAATCTAAAGTATTTTAAAAGCAACTATCTAGCTATAAACTAAGTGAAATAAATTTTATTAAATATGAAATAATTATCACTACAATGAAGACTTTATAGTAAGCCTGTTTCATAACATTTCAGTTGCTACATGGTGCCTTAACCACATAGGAAGGTATCTAATTTGAAATTAATATTTTGAGGACATGGACATTTTCTAAAATGTCTTGTAACTCATAATACAGTCAACTCTTTACCACACAGTCACATGTTGTTTCCAAATATAATGTCTATTTCCTAACTGAAATTTTGAATTTTTAGATCGCCAGGGGCATACGAAGGGGAGGTTTGAGATGGCCAACTTTGCTGTAATTTGGGATGGTATTTTGCATCAGCCGAGAAGGAGAGGGATCTGGAATGCACCTGGAGTTAAGCTGCAAGGATAACATGACAGCAAAGGAGCCTGGGAAAACTACATAATGGCCTTGTCCTCTTCTGTTCAAAGTATATTCCCCGTACAAATGTCGCCAGTGGATTCCAATAGAAGAACAAGGACCCCTAAGGCAAATGCAAATGTCCATCTGTCTAATGCCATGTTCAATTTTTAAGTTAGAGACCCACTTGCAAATACAATGAAGCTAAGGGAAACATCCTGGGAAAAACATACATACAAAATTTTGGATGTTATTTCAGGGGATTCACAGATCTGAAATCCATCCAAAGTCTAACCCCAAGTTAAGAACCCCTGCTTTAGAAAAAGCATTCACCTGAGTATTTCCTAGGTCTTAAAATCAAATCTTTATCATATATCTCCAAAGAACAAACACAATACATAGCTGGAGCTTAATGTATGAGGCCATGTGATAATTAAATTTTAAAAGGCTTTAAAGCATCTATTAAAAAGAGATAAAGAAAAATAAAATAAGTGGGTATTAAACTTAAGAAACTATGGGCACTTGGTATGGTCAAATCACCAAGAACTGCAGAATTTCAAAAAGGAAATGAGAGCTAAAAGATTATATTTAGTTTTTAAATCCTGGGTCCCTCACAGAGCTCTCACATGCTATATAAATACTTACTTCCAGCTCAAAGTCTGATAAATTAATTTTCTTTGGAACCTAAAAAACAAAAGAAAAGGTATTAATTTTGGCTCATTAAAAGTAAATCCTAACTTACCAAGCATTGGTAGGGAAAGATTCAATTTTAAAAAGAGACTTCATTAGAACTGACAGGTAATATGCAAACGAAAATGGGCAGGATGGGCCGGGTACAGTGGTTTATGCTTGAAATCCTAGTACTTTGGGAGGCCGAGGCAAGAAGATCGCTTAAGGCCAGGAGTTTGAGATCAGCCTGAGTAACACAGAGACCTCATCTCTACAAAAGACAGAAAAATTAGCCAGGTGTAGTGGTGCACACCTGTAGTCCCAGCTACCCGGGAGGCTGAGGCAGGAGGACTGCTTGAACCCAGGAGTTAGAGTTTGCAGTGAGCTATGATGAGGCCACTGCACTCCAGTCTGGGTGACAAAGTGAGATCTTATCTCACCAAAAATAGAAAAGAAAAGAAAAGAAAATAGGCAGGATGTCTGAGGTAGGAGGATTCCTCATCACTTGTCTTTTCAAAACTTTCTTTAATATTGTTACATTGCTCTTATAGAACAGGTAGAAGTTCTTGTCTAATCAAAATATTACTTCCTGCGGCTGCATAAAGAGAGTTTAAAGTAGACAGATGCATTAAAACACTCTTGTGAAGCTCATCAGAAAGTAAAACGAAAAAAAGATGTTCAAGTTCCTGACTCTTTGAAATGCTGATTTTTTTTTTTTTTTTTACTGCAAAGAGAAATTAAAAAAATAGAAGTAGACTGGCAGTGGATTCTTATCTTCTGAAGCCTTCATGTACTAAGCACGTCTCAAAGCCAAAGGAATTCTGCCATTCTTGGGAATAACTTAAAGTCAAAGTCGCACAGCTTTTCTCCTCTACAGGTACAGGACAAAGCATTCATTCAGCGTCTCAATACACAATCACCTTCACTGTGTAATGCTAAAGTTAGTGCTTAAATCTTGATAACAAACCTATAATAAAAGGACTATTTATAAAGGTTTTTTTAAAAGATCAAATGCATCAAATACCAGAAATCATCTACCTTTCCAAAAAAAGAACATTTGAAAACGTTCAGGACAACTAACCCGGTACATGGCTCTAAATCCAAATTCTTGCTTTCTTCGCTTTGTAATAAATCTTCTATTTTCTCTCTGAGGAATTAGAATAGACCACGACCATCAGTACTTTTAGGGAATAAAATCATCAACCAACAGAATAATCATACCCAAAAGCAGTCTAAATATAAGAACATATGATGACAATGTAATTCTACCAAATCATGCCATAACTTTTTAGTTCAAAAGACTTTTTAAAAAATGCTTTATTTTGGATATTCTTTTGGAAGGGATTAATGTTATTAATGAATTAGTGACAACTTCTCAAGGATTCGTCAATACAAGTAATTTAATTTCTTACTTCTCTAGTAAGCAGTTACAATGACAACTACATTAAGCAAGACCAGGTACTCTTCCCATGGCACATCTACTTGTCAGAAACTTCACTGTGAGAGAAATAAACGTGGACATGTTGCAGTCTGGATGGGTCTGATCCACTCCTCTGCCTTCAGGGAGTCGGGACAGTGGCTGTCAGGCCTTCAGCGCTTGCAGGTCTGCCCACTTGCTGAGGTCTCTTGCCTAGTGACATGTAGCAAGTCCAAATACAATACATGGAACTCTATTTACAATTTGCTGCTTTTGCACAAATTCAGATACGCCACAATTAAATCCTGCACTCACAACATACTACGTATGTGTAGCACAGGTTTGAAACACAGATGTGAGTCCCTCCCCAATACACATTATGAAAGGCACATTTGGTCTTAGTTTAGGAACTTACACCACTTGGTCAATAAACTTCTTCTGATCCTCAGGAATCGTCACAGGACATTTTGAAGTGTTAGGAGATACATACGCCAGAGCTCCTGCACCATTGGCCTGTGAACGTTTTTCGTCATACTGCTCTCTTAACTGCCTTTCTTCTTCCTGATTTAAATATGGAATTCCTAAACATAATTTTAAAAAGAATGCATTAGCAGAAGTAACTGTTTAAAATTAAAAAAAAAAAATCTTTTAACACACCAAAGAGTCTAAATTACTCAGGAAAGATGTATCATATTTACCTACATCTCAAAAAATCAACAGAAAAGGCAAGTGATTTTGAAATGTGTTCGTTCATTCATTCATTCATTGTTCTTTCAAATAATTTACTCAGGGCTTTCATTTTATTAGGCACTAGGGAACTAACAGTGAACAAACAGATGCATCCTGCTCTGTAGCGAAGGGAACTACTTCTGACAAGATGATCAGAAAAGGCCGCTGTGAGGGAGAACTGGAAGGATCAGAACAAGTCAGATGTGTAAAGAGCTAGCTAGTATGTCAGGCGGGGAAACAAGTATAAATGTCCACAGGATGGAAATGGCTTGGACTACTGCAGGAACACAAGGAAGCTGGTGTGGCTAGAACACAGTGAGCAAAAGGGGAAGGGTATGACATCAGGTTGGAAAAGAATGGAGCAAGATTATATCAGCTAGCCCTTACTGCCCATGATAAGAAATTTATTTTACTCTAAGAGCAAATGGACGCCATTACAAGGTTTTAAGCAAGATTATTACATTATAAGCTTCATGTTTGAAAGGTCATGTTAACTACCATGAAAATGGAAATGGGGAGACTAGCTAGGAGCAACTGTCCAGGCAAGAGAAGACAACTCAGATTAGAGGTCAGCAAACTTTTCTTAATGCTTTAGATAATAAACGCTTTAGGCTTGTGGGCCACATGGGGATCTCTGTCGCAATACACAACCCTGCCACTGTAGCACAGAAGCAGTCATTCACAACACACACATGTGTGGGCACAGCTGTGTTCCAATAATATTTTATTACATAATAGGCAGCCAGCTGTAGGCCACTATTTGTGACCTAGGCTTAGACAACTGAGATGGCAGGATACATGGGGAGAGTGATTTTCGAGACAGAAGAGATAAAATTTACTGATGTAATAGGGGTGAGGAATAAAGACAAAGGCACAATCAAGAAGGATACCTAGCTATTTGGTTTAAGCAACTGGAAAGATGGTAGGGCCACGAACTGAGGTAAGGAAAACTAGCAGGAGAATAGGTTTGGGAGTCCAAGGGGTGGAAATCCAAAGCTATCTTTGGATATATTACATCATCTAAGGATATACACATACAGAGTTGCAAATATAAGCCTATAGCTCAAGAGAAAGGTGTTGAGACAAAAAATTTAGTTATCACTGGGATATGGGTGATATTAAAAGCCATGGGACACCAAGGAATTTGTAGAAAGAATAATGAAATTAGAAAACCACCATCTGTCAACAAACTGTTTGAAACAAGAATCATCAATGGATGCTAAAACTAACTGGCAAAAAAAGCGATCCAAGTTAACATCATCGGCAATGGGACCGACTGACATCATGCGCCTCCCAATATGACGCACTGAGAAGGACACGCACTCGCATCTATGGTATTCCTGCCAAATGAGTAAGTGCATATGGACGGGTTTGAGGAAACATCAGATAAGGCCAAAGAGATGGCATTCTACAAAATAACTAACTTCCACATTCAAAAACGTAAAGGTATTAAAAAACACGAACGGACTGAGAAGCATTTCTGGATTTAGAAAGAGTAAAGAAATGACAACTAAATGCAACATGTGATCCTGGATTGCATCTGGATCAGGGGAACATTTTTTCCTCTCTTGCTTCAAGTGGCAAAACTTACATAAGGTTTGTAAATTAGGTTAACAGTACTGTAGTAGAGATCATCCTTGTTTTTAGGAAATACACACAAGTAGTTGGGGGAAAAGGGGTGGCAGATGCAACTTAGTCTAAAACGGTTCACAAAAAAAAAGTATGATGTATGTATATAAAGATGACAAGGCCAATGTAGTACACTGTTAGCATTTGGGGAACTGGAGGGAAGGTATGCACAAACTCTTTGTGGTATTTTTTTTGCAACACTTATATAAGTCTGAAATTATTTCAAAATAAAAATTTAAAGGTGAGTACGGTGGCTCACACCTGTAATCCTAGCACTTTGGGAGGTTGAGGCAGGAGGATCGTCTGAGGCCAGAAGTTCGAGACCAGCCTAGACAACACGGCGAGGCTTCATCTTTACAAAAAATTTAAAAATTAGCCAGGCGTGGTGGCATGTGACTGCAGTCCCAGCTACTTGGGAGGCTGAGGCGGGAGGATTGCTTAAGCCCAGGAGTTTGAGGTTGCAGTGAGCTATGATGGTGACACTGCACTCTACCCAGGCAACAGAGCGAGACCCTGTCTCCAGAAAAAAAAAAAAAAAATAATAATAGTAAAATAGACCCATGGCATATATGAGACCAGCTAGGGAAAGTAATATTTAGAAGCTGGCAAGATGAGAAAGAGCCAATCAGGACATGGAGAACCAAGAGTGAAGCAGGAGGAAAACCAGAAGCACAAAATGCGCTGGAAGCCAGAGGGGGCAACCAACTGGGTTGAATTCTACCAAAAAGTAGAGCAAGATGAGGGCAAAGAGGGATGCGCTGGACTTGAGACCCTGGTGAAGGCAGCCAGCACAGCATCAGCAGAGGGGTGTGGAAGGAAGCCCAGCTGGAGCAGGGTGAAGAAAAAACTGGAAGAGAAGAAGAAGAAACGGTGAAAGCATGCCACTTGATCAAGGAACTTTCTCTGAGTGGGAGCATCACTTGGTAGAAAGGGGAAGGAGATGTGGAATCCAGCGAGAGGGTTTGGTTTGTACTTGGTTTGGGTTATTGTAGGAGATATTCCTACAGGCGTGCTTAGCCTTCTAGTGCCTCTGGTGAAGCCTACAGACTCCTCCCTCAGAACAATGTTTTTAAATGCAAAAAAATATATATATATACATACAAGATTATAAAGGAAGTTAATGATGTTAACATAGTTATAAAAGAATAATTTTAAATATCTGTGATACAGTATATCGGCTTCTTGATCAACAGATTAAATGACAAGATCTGGTGGCAAGTAAAATAACTGTGATAATTTCAAAGTACTAATAAACATAAACAATACTCAAGATATCTATTAACAACTAAAATGTCATTTGAAGATCCCTGGGATTTCTGCTGATAACACGGTCCCAGATACTGCTCACTACTACTGCTGGGGTTGTTGCCTACATTCATAATGGAAGAAACTGCTAAATTTCAGCTCAAGGTAAGAAAAAATACAGACATAAATGTTTTCCTTCTCAAGTTCACAGACTCCTGAATTCTGTCTATGGGGAGTAGGAAAGGGTGCCTGCGGACTGGGTTAAGAAGTTCTGTAGTAGCAGCACATTTTATAAAGGCTGATGGCAATGAGCTAGGAGAGAAAGGAAAACAGTAATTCAGGAGAAAGAGGGGGAAACTGGTAAAGCTCGTGCCTGACAAGGTAGACGGACTATCCTTTGACAGGTGCATGGACTGTTCTTCCACTGCAACAGAGGGAGGCAAAAAAGCGAGGTTGACTTAGGACAGACTTGTGGATCTGGTGGTAAGAACACGAAGCCCTTCTTCTCTGCTGGCTTCCATTTTCATTGGAGAAGCATGGGCATGAGCTGGGGTGGGGAGCTTGGAGAAATCGGTAGTTAAAAGAGACATCTTTGAGAGTGGGAAAGGTAATCCTAGGTCAGAAGAGTAAGATTTTTGAGCACAACTGAGTGCTTATTTGAAGCTTGTGCTCATGAACTTGGAGTGACAAATTAGCCCAGGTGTGTCATGTTTTCCAGCAATATTCAGATGCTCAGAAACAGAAGGTGGACGGTCAGATTCCACCACGATGGGGACTTTGCTAGGCAAGTACCATGGAGGGAGAGAGAAGCAAGGGAAGGAAGGAAGGATAGTGAGGAACCACGTGGATAAGGAGGAAAGTCAAGGTAGAAGACGGGAAGGTAATGGACAGTGAAAATGCAACGGAAGTCAGCAGATTGCTGAAGCGAGGTACTAGAGTCAGTGAACGAGAAGGGGGAGAGGCAGTGCTCTCAAAGAGAGAAACACCACAGACGGTAAGTTAGATGTGCAGTTAGTGACAAGGCCCATAACGCTGCCAAGGGTGTGGAGGATTAAAGGGAGACAGAAGCAAAGACTGTGGACTGCCTGGTCAAGGACAGACAGAGCATTTGCTGTCGTCCTTGTGGATGCTGGGGTCTCCCAGAATGAGGACAGGGGTGGGAATGGAGAGAATGACAATGAGCCAAAGCCAAGGCTGCTGGTGAAGTCAGCAAAGAGAGGGTGGTAGAGCTGGGTGACACACCCCTGAGAAGAATGGTGGCTCCCATAGAAGAAGGAATTCAGGTGCTTTGGAAGCGGCACAGTGAAGCAAGGAGGATACCTAGCATGGTGTGGCCAGAGACAGAGAAGAGTGACAGGTAAAACCACCTGCCTTGGAGAAGGCTGACAGGGGGAAGAGTAACAAGAGGAGTCACTTGGTCCACTTTCAGAGAAGGAAGTCAAAGAACTTCAGAGAAGACTGCCAAAAGAAAGGAGTGCGGCATTTACAGAGCCTGAATGGAAAGATTAGATAACAAAGAGAAATGAGGGTCTAGGTCAGATTTAGAGATTATCAACAACAGCATGGGGATAAGTCTTGGTAATAATCGGTGGCCTGGGAGTCCTGATTCAGTTGTGACTAAAATATTCCAAGGTTTGTGATTACAAAACAACGAGAGTGAGGCATACTCCAATCTGGCTATTTCTCTTCTTTTATGAAAATAAAACCAACAGGTTGTTAATGATAGTTCTTGACCAAATCCAGATTTACTTCCCAAGGACATTTAGAAGGTTTATAAACTGTAAAATAAGTCACATATAATCTTACCATTGCGAAAAACTTTATTAAAATCAAATCCCTGGCTTGCAAGAAAGTCAATGCTGGAGCTCTGAAACAAGAATAAACAGAACATATTTCGGAGACGTTAGTGGCAGATACATGAACGGAAGCAGAGAAGTAACTTGGGGAGGTAAACAAGGCAATCAGGCAAGGAAGGGACATGCCAAAGGTCAGAAGACGAGGGATTTCTGCTCCACAGATGATCCATTCATTTACTTAAAATATCTGGGCTATTCTCCTTTTGTTGTGGTGTGTGTGTATGTGGGGGAAGGGGTGTTTGTTTTTTGTTTTTGAGACAGGGTCTTGCGTTGCCCCAGCTAGAATACAGTAGTGTCATCATAGCTCACTGCAACCTCAACTCCTGGGCTCCAGTGATCCTCCTGCCTCAGCCTCCTGAGTACCTGAGACTGCAGGCACGTGCCACCATGTCTGGCTAATTTTTCTTCTTTGTAGAGAAGAAACTCTTGCTCAAGCTGGTCTCGAACTCCTGACCTCAGGCAATCCTCCAGCCTCAGCCTCCCAAAGTGTTAGGAGTATAGGAATGAGCCACTACGTCTGGCCCCAAAATCTTAACTGGATGTTCTTAATGTCCAAGATCAAGAAAGAAAAGTTCCTAGTAACAAGCCTTACTAAATGAACGTATCTCAAACCTAGGATGAGCAGAAACATAAAAGTAAATTTAAATAAAAATCTCAAGTAAACAATACTACAGGTGGTACACAAGCATGGCAAAATCATAAAGTTCTTACTCAAACTGACTAAAGAGAGGCAGTATTACTGTAGCTAATTACTGTACTCTAATTCTCTTCTTGGGTTAAGTCAGAACACCGGCAGGCTGCACACCTGAACCATTTTCATCTGGTCCCTTTACTGAGCTGTACTTTGACATTATACCACCAGTGTAGATCAAGGGACATTATACCGAACATTGCCATTAAATTCGCCACAGTGTTCACTTCAGAGATGTGATTAGAACCACAGTTTTCTATAGTCATGACTTCTTTACATTCCAAGGGTAAATGTTCTGAGGTCTCTATTCTGGGAAAAGCTATATTAATACTAATCCTGAGCCCTACATAATTTTAATCCTATGGACCACAGAACTGACTGTGTGTTTCCCTCTTTTCTTTGCTGCTAGGAAGCTCAGAGACAAACAACTGAGACTTCCTTTGGCATAAATTCTGTGTTATATTCATACCATAGTAATATCATTTGTCTTGTCTTTCAATTTCTCATTTACTTATTTTTTTTTAAATCGTATGATAAAAGGTAAATATAGTATGTATCTTTGTTAGCCAACACAAATCCTTTTTTAAACATGGTGGGATAAAAAAGACAATCATACCATAATAGGCATATACACACACACAAACTGGGGTACATGCAAATCACTTTCCATTAAGTTCAGGTTTTCTATACTTTAAACAAGCAACTTTCCCCCACCCCCACTTCTTTTTTTATACTGTCCTAAACCAAGACTCAATGTCTTTTGGCTTGGTCTACCAGCCTCCTGTCTACCACTCCTGAATGTTCTTACAATTCTGCCCACCTAAAAATTTCATCTCTGACAGAGGCACCTAAACATAGATTCTGAAAAGGCATTTCTGTCCTTGTACTAGTCTCCAAAACACCCTACTTTCCCTTATCCCATTAAACTCGGAGTCAAAGATTCATCTATTCCTTCTTTGAAGCAATTTATTTTCTAATCAAACAATACTCTTTGAGTTGTACAATGTGAATGCACTTAATGCCACTGAACTATACATTTAAACTGGGTGCAGTGGCTCATGCCTGTAATCCCAGCACTTTGGAAGGCCAAGGCAGGAGGATAACTTGAGGGCAGGAGTTCAAGACCAGCCTGAGCAACACAGCAAGATCCCATCTCTGAGAAAAATAAAAAATTAGCTGGCTATGCGGGCATGTACCTGCAGCCCCGCTATTCGGGAGGCTAAGACAGGAAGATGACTTGAGCCCAGGAGTTAGAAGTTATAGTGAGCTATGATTGTACCACTGCATTCCAAGCCTAGGTGACAAAGCAAGACCCTGTCTCTAAAAAAAATTTTAATAAATTTTAAAGAATGGTAAATTTTATGTTACGTATATTTTACTACAATGTAAAAAAAAAACAAAAAAACTTTTGAACTAAACCTATTTGTAATTTACTATCCAATACCTTTGATTTGTCCTAAATGTAACATTTTCAAGATTCAAGACATAAGCACAGGTTATTTGGGAGGACAATTTAAGGCATCTACCAAAATTTTAAATGCACATGTTCTATGACTCAACAATGCCCCTTCTAGGAAGTCTATCCTGCAGAAAAATTCCTAGATATACAAAAAGATATACTGCACACGGATGATGACTGTAGCATTGTTGATAAGCATTGGAAAGCCTCTAAATGCCAACTAAGAAACTGACTAAACAATTACATGTATCTATATTATGAAATACAAAGACATTCTGTGAAATGGAAAATGCAAGTTATATAAAATTTGAATATTAGAATTCCATTTATATTAATGAAAAATGACAATATTGTGTGCAGACACATAGGAATACATATACATGTACATAAAAGCTAGAAAACATGGAGTTTTGGGCAGAAGTTGCATGGGAAAAGGTTGTAAGAAAAGAAACTCGTCTGTCACTCTATATGCAGCAGTAATGTTTTGATGTTTCACAACCATGTATGTATCACCTTTCATGAATTATATAGATGCTCAGCCGGAAAAAGGACGAAGAAAAGAAAAAGGAGAAACAAAAGCTATGTAAATGCCATGCTATTCTGCCTGCCATTCTACTCAATGAGAACATTCCCTGGGTTTATGTGCGGTTCTGTCAGCCCACCTCTCCACATCCTGCCTAGCATTTGAGCATCTCACTGTGTGTATAGATACTTATTTTTCAAAGAACATATTAAGTTGCTTTACCCTCAAATCCTACATGCTTTAAGGGTGATAAGAGCTTTTTGAGAGTGACCTTGAAACAATTCTTATCCTACTTGTTGCCTCTAGAACCTAACTCCCTTGTGAGATGGCAACTCTGCAGCAACAATAGAATTTTAAACAAAACAAAAAAACACCTTAAATGAAAGACAGAAGGAAGAAAATCCAAAGACACATTTACCTTATCCATACAACTCACTAGGTTAGAGTCTAAACCTTTTCTCTGCCTTTGCTTTTCCAGACTAGACCACCCCCGACGAAAGCCATGGAACCCACTTTTTAAGTAATTCTCTGTTCCTGGTACTGCTAGAAAACTATATCCACACAAATTTCCAAACTGAGCCTGCTCAAAAATATTTCTCAATGAAAATGTACAAATACTGGTTGATTGGTAAAGAGCTGTTGACTGTAGGGTGAAGGAAATGTCGACTATGGTTTACTTGCTAACTTAAGAAAATGGCTACAAGATTAAAGTTACCTTCACCCTTTCTCTTTTGCACCCAGGCATAACTCTCGATTTCATTTGTTTATATCCTGCCTTATTTCAGAAAGAATTTGACATGACTCAATGACTTAAAAGCTTTCCCTCCAGGCTTTCATAATTGCATTACCACTTATTTGCAAGAGAAAGGAAAGATGGCAAGACTCAAATGGACTCATGTTGCTACTAGGAGAGAAGATAGGAAGCAAGATTATTAGGGAGAAAAGATTACACTATCTTTAATCACATATCCATCCATACACTCATACCACTTATTAACTATCTCCTTATCCATTACAACAGATAATCAAGAAGGCAGAAAGGGAAAACTGATATTTACTGAGTGTCTACCACTCAGTGTTGTCAGCTACAACAACCCTGGAGGGAATATTCTAAGCAGCAAGCTCCCTGTATCCTTACCTTGGCCTAAAAAGTAAGCCCTCTCCTTCTAAAGTGGAAATAGTGATTGTTTCCTACCTTCTCTTTCCTAATTGGTGAGCTTGGGAAAAGGAACTGAGTGCAGTAGTTTAGCCCCTTCTGGGCTCTCTCTTTGTGGACAGGATACACATATACTCTGCTCTTCCTGTATATAAAGCTCTACCCTTGGAGTGGGTGCATGGAGAATGGGATAGGGAGAAGCCTGCAAGTCCTGACGTGTAAGTTCAATTTGGGGGTAATATATTAAAAATCCCAAATAGAGTTAGAAAGTCATGTTCTCAACTTCAGCTTTATTAACAATAAAGCTCATGTTCTGATTTCCATCTGTCTTGACATCTTATTCCTTATTCTGAAGCAAAGGGTAAGATTACAGTATCGTTAATTTATAATCCCAAAACCAAAGGTCAGAGAGGTGAAACGATTTGTCCAAAGCCCCAAATTAGTGGTAGAACCAAACCCTAAAGGCAATTCAGATTCCATATTTCCACGCTGCCTCATCAGCAATCCATAAAAGCTCAATTATGCTACTAACCTGACAAACAAACTTGACATCTGGTGACGATCTATTGAAGGGTTTTGGGAAAACATAGAAGTTAAATGACTTCATTATATACCTGGGAAAATAAAATAAAAGGAGACTTAGGGGGTTACATCATGCCACAACAAAATAATTCCCACCATTTGTCAGAACAACCTACTTTGCATCTGTGTAGTCATACTTAAAAGTGCAAAGGCCAAACTGAAACAGCAAAAAGTCCATGGAATGCTGGAAAAGGGAAATAAAACATCTGTCACGATAGTGCGGCATGTTCGACGTGAGCAAAAGTATTCTCAAACAGGTGAGCTTTCTGAATTACTCAACTTGACTTTGGCAGAATGCTTCCGAGTAGAACAGATTACAGATTATGTTATCAGAAGCATTATAAATTTATATGCATTTCTTAATATTTTTTCCCAGTTAAGTACCTATCCATCATCCAGAGTATCATATCAGGCCTATTTTCCAAGTGATTAAAATAGTCACATCTTATTTCCTATAAATCAAATCAACATTGAAAATACTAAACTTATCCCAAAATGTTTTCCAGCAAACAATTATTTTTGCTGTTTTAAATATCACTAAAATATCACTTTGTGGCGGGGTTTGAGAAGAGGTGCTGCACTTAGAAAACCTTAACATGCAAGTTTAATAATTATATTTCTCTATAATTTAACATAAAGAAGATCAACATGAGAAAGAAAAAGATTTTCCAGCATATCCACTTACCTTTTTAAGCTTCTGATACCTTTCTTCAGGAGTGTCAAAACCATTTGTTAATGCAGTGACTGAAGGTCCATCACTGATTCCTAGATGTTAAGAAAAAAAAGTTTTTAACTTACTAATAAATGTAAAAATGTCAGTCAACCACTCAATGCCTCCATAATTTCACAACATGAATTAAGATTAACTGGAAGTTCCCCCATTTCACTTTTTCAAAATTAGCCTTAATTTCACTGGTCACCAAGCTAAACTCTCTAATAATGAATTTGGAGATATGAATGTTTCAACTTGAGAATGGGCAGTTCCAGTGTCTAAAATGGGTTTTAAAGCAATCATTTAAGAAAACCTATATGCCTGAATAAGTTGTGCTGCTTTCTAAAGGATTAATGTGTAATTAGACATCAATGAATCCTTAAGCATATTATTTCTAGAGTACCAGTCTTGGTCAACAGCTTGGAGTAACAGCTATAACAGTATTTTTCAAGAAAAAAATTACTTTAGCCTCCTAAGGAATTGACTCCAACTAGAAACTGTATATGTAAAGCCAATGACCACATTTACCCCAACATGGATTCCTTTAGAAAGAGCTAGGATTTTTTAAACATGTAAAATCACATAGCAAAAGTGGATACTTATACCAAAGGGAGTAAACAATTCATACTGATGTTAACAATTTAAAAATTAGGCTGTGCTCCCCCCCAAAAAAAGGAAAAAGAAAAAATCCTGCAATTGTAAGCACTGGTAAAGTATAACACACACTAACACACTTGCCTGGGTAGGCAATGAACACTTCCCCTGATGGATAAGGGAATATCCTCATTTACCTGTAAAAGTCTGACTCTAGCCAGTTACCGAAGGACAAATATTTAATGATTCCATGTACGTGGATCTAGAGTAGTCGAATTCATAAAGACAAATGGTGGTTGCCAGAGGATTCAAGAAGGGAGGAATGGAGAGTTCAATGTGTATGGAGTTTCAGTTTGGGAAGATGAAACAGCTCTACAGATGGATGGTGATGGTAGCACTGCAATGTGAGTGTACTTAATGCCACTGAACTGTAAAACCACTTAAAAATGATTAAAATGATAAATTTTATCATATATATACTTTATCACAAAGAAAAAAAAAAAGCCTGACCCTGCTCCGCATGCTTTCCTCCATGTGCATGTCAGACTGTTCTAAGCAGCACCAAAACCATAATCTCCATCTGCAGTCCTCAAAAAGCAATAACAAATCCATCGCATCTCTTCATCTTTTCCGTGCTTTTGAAACGTTTAAGGGGAAATGTTGAGACTTGTGCAACCCGCCCAATGCTACAAACAGTGAGGAGCCGCCATCAGGCATGAGAAGTCGGAGGCTGGGGGACTGCAAGAGCCCTGGCTATGCATTGCTGGTGCTAGCCCTGAGATTGCAGAGAAGGGATACCTGAAAACTCCCCATCGATGGCGAAGAAGTCTGCCTCCTCTATGGCCTGGTACACTTTGTGAAGATTACTCTTAAAATCTGCGGAGAAACCGAGAAGAGGCTCAGAACCAGTGGCCTGAATTCCTGCCCATTGGCTTATAAGGGGAGAGGGAAGGTGGGCCGAGGAGTTGCTGAGGCCGAAGGCCGGAGGGGCCAAGTCCCAGAGGTGTGCACGGGCCGCACGGTGTCAACTCCCGGAGGGGTGAGGGGCCAGAGCAGGACAAGCCCCGAGGGGTGCACTGCCCGGAAAGCGGCAAGGCCCGCATGGTGCCTGGGCCGGACGAGGACAAGGTCCCCAAGGGTGCACGGTCGGCAATGAGAAAAGGCCCAAAGAGGCACACGGGCTTAAGCAAGGGCCAAAGCCCTGAGGCGCTGCCTCAGCCCCCGGCATAGCCAAACAGGCCGGCCGTGGTCTGGGCCTAGCGGGCCTGGGTGGAGGGCTGGGGACGCGGGGAGGTGCACGGCGGACACGCACTGCTCCTGATTATCTCCATTCTGCAGTGTGGCCGGAACCCCGGCCCCGCCCGGGCCAGCCTCGGCCGTTCCACTCGCAGAGTTCCGCGGCGGCAGCGGACGCAGCAGCAGCGGACACGGCGGCGGCGACTTCCGGAAACAGCGCGCGCCCGCTGTGCTTGCGATAGCGCTTGCGTCAGCGTCGGGGGCGGGGCCAAAGCTTGGCTCCTTTCACTCCTCTCTGGGACAGAGGAGGGGCGTGGTTATCGAGGTGCCCAAGGCGTGGCCTAATTTGTGCGGGTGTTCACTTTAGAAGAAATATGTATGTCCTGACGTCAGTTGATCAGCAAATATTTACTGGGTTCCTATTATGTGCTGGCCACTCTGATAGGGCGAGGGATACAATGATGAACAGGAGGACATGGTCCCTGCTCCATCGTAGCTTAAACTTGGGGTAAGAGGGGAAGCTCAGGCGAGAATCAAACTTGCCATTTGAAGACATGATAATTGCTACGAAGAAAAAGAGCAGGGTGCTGTAATGGAGAATAATGGGGGTTGTTACCTAGTGAGCAGGAAAAGCAAAGCTGAGACCTTTATCTACTGCACTAGCCACTGGGAATACTATGGCGAGCGCAACTTGTGAGGTCTTGCCCTAAAGGACCTGTATGTTGGTTTGGGGTTGTTGTTGATACCCAAAGCCTAGCACGGGGCTGACACGTAGTAGACGCTCAGTAAGTATGGGTTGAGTGAATGAATTCACCTTGGTCTTTCATAAAAGATTATGAAGTTGGTCGGAAGACCTGTTATCAAAGGCTAGCTCAGCTATTTAGCTCCAGAACAGTATTAAGCCTTCCTAAATCTCAATTTCCTGGGGTTGTATTGAGGATCGGTGGTGATAATGCATGTGAAGTGTAAAGTACAGTATAAATAAATTTGTACAGAAAGTGTTTAAGGGGAATGGAGTTACACTTTGGTGAGATGAAAAAGTCCTGGAGATGCATAGTGGTGATGGTTGTCCAACTATATAAACATACTTAACGCCACTGAATTGTATACTTAAAAATGGTTAAAATGGTAAATTTTATGTATCTTCTACCACAACTTTAAAAAATGCTTATTCTTATTACCAGATCATCCTCCAGAAACTTGAGTTCATACACTGCCTGGGCTAGCAGGGAGATTGGTAAAACGATTACCAATATTTTTAATCTTGGCCAATTTGATAGGTAGAAAAGAAAACGTCATCTCAAATTAGCACTTTAGCAATCTCCAGGCCAGAGATTTAAAACAGATAATCAGCATGAGTTCTCAAAAGATCAACCTGCTGGGGGAAAAAAACGTGGTGATAAAGCCATTTTAATTCTGATTTTTTTTTTCTTGAGGCAGATTGTCAGTCTGTCTCCAGAACTAGAGTGCAGTGGCCTCATCACAGCTCACTGCAACCTTAAACTCCTGGCCTCAAGTCATTCTCAGCTTCCCCAGTAGCTAGGACTACAGGCACGAGCCACCACGCCCGGCTATTTTTTTTTTTTTTAATCTTTTGTAGAGATGAGGGTTTCGCTATGTTGCTCAGGCTGGTCTCGAATGCCTCGGCTCAAGCGATTCTCTCATCCTCAGCCTCCCAAAGTGTTTGGATTACAGGCGTCTCCCGACCGATAGATGCTTCTTAACAAATGGTACTTTTTAGCCACGGTCCTGTGATTTTCTGCACAAAATGTGAATGCTAAAAAAAAAAAAAAAACCAAACTGGTGAGTACAGTGCGGTCTTATAATATTACTTTAATTTCTGGGCAAAGTTGTATCCTCCAGATACAGAAACAGCATCCCAGGGGAAACACACACACACACACACACACACACACACACACACACACACCTTCGGTCGCAGGGGAAACACACACACACACACACACACCTTCGGTCGCAGGGGAAACACACACACACACACACACAC